ACACACACACACACACACACACACACATGTATATATATAACATATGAGAAGAATGGTTTCTGTGTCAGTGGGAGTAACCTCTGTTCAGTTTTCCTTCCCCTGCACGTTCAGGTTTTGTTTTGTTTTTTTGTTTTTAAGTTAGAATTCTGTATTTATTTTCCGGATTGGACCTAGAAAAGAGACATCGGTTTTACTTGTCAGAGGCAGAGCGCAGCATCAAGAGTTTGGGATTTCTGTTTCTTTCTCCGGCTGTTTTGAACTTTTTTTTGCTCATACATTCGGCTACATTTGAGTGTAAATGGTTTGGCTAAAAACCTGTTGCCAGTTTGCATCTTAAAGTTTGTCTGTTTGATTTTTTTAACCCTGATTTTATTTTCAGAATAACCTGGACAGGTAAACAAACCGGGTAAACCTCCTGGACCCTGTTTCTCGTCCTAAAAGCACCATTTGTGGTCACCGGCCATCATGGGGAAAACACCAATAAAAGGCAAGAAGTTTTATTATGGCTTGATCTTTATTGGTTTATTTTATTCCTCAAAACGAAAACACCACCACTTGAATTGTAATGACTGTTCTATGAAGATGGTAAATATAGTCCAGAACATAATTATTACCATCAGTTGTTTTTAAGTCTTAGTTCTGATTCATTTAAATTCATACTCAACTTTTGTAACTGTGACTAATTGCTTTAAAAAATAATAGATTTTCTCTTTAGTTGTCTCTCTCTTTAGTATAAAGCAATGCCAGAAACAAGGACATGTATTTGTTTTGTTTAGGGTAAATACATGGAGGAAAATGACATTTTATTACCTCCAATACTTCTCGGGTTTGTAGCAGTTTTGTACGTATGTCTCTACCTACCTTGAATTTCTCTTTTTAATTGTTTTCAGATCAAAGAGATGGTAAAAAGGACAAATCTGGAAAGCCAGCGTCACCACCAGGCACAGCCCCTCCTGCAACAACTAACGGTGAATTCTGGGGTTGGATTTACTCTTATTTGAGACATTTTATTAGAGTCCTTTGACTCCTATCCCAGTGGATCAGTATGAAGCCAAATGAGCCATTTATGCTTAGCAAGAAGAACCACTGAGTTTCTGCAGTTTTCTGACTTTTTAAAAAACATTTTGGGTATTTGTCTTTTCTTGTTGAACAGTTCTGATATCAATATTGCTAATGATTGGGACACTTGGTAAACAGTGTGTAATTATCTCACCTTTTTTTTTCATTTCTTTTTATTGTAGACGTAATGAAATATTTTCATGCAAAAAGTAACAGTTTTGTGGTTGATCTTTAGATGCTTTCAACTGGGAAGAATATCTTAAAGAAACCTCAGCAACGCCGGCTCCAGCCACCTGTTTTCGTCAGGTAAGAATGAGCAGTCTAACTTTAATCTTGGACAGATCTCTTACATCAGGTACACAGGTAAAAGCGCAATTTCAAACCGAGGTGGGCAATTGTATTTTTTTATTGTGTTTCTTTAAAGTCTCTTGAACAATTAGTTTCTGTTTCGTGGACAGTCGCGCGGTTACTGTAATCACTGTGTCTGGCTTGGCTTTGTTTATTTTGTCTTTTCTTTTTGGAACGCCACCAATTGGATACATTCCACTTGTCAGCGCTCTGCTTAACTTCTGACGGTCCGATGCGTCTTCATTCAAAGGCATCTCGGAGCACAGAACGCTGGCGCTCGGCCTCTTTTTGATCCAGTTGTGTGCACAGCCAGAGTTTAGTGCATGCAGGCGGCCTCACATCTCCTGCGTCTGCAGCTCACATCTAACAGACCACACTAGGGTTCCTTTTGCGGCTGGCTGCCTTGTTATGTGGTTTGAATGAGGAAGTACACTGTGAGTGACAGCGGTGCTGTTAATGAGCCTCTGGGCCACAGCAGTGGCATTCAACGCTAAGACGTTGTGAATTTCTCCTTCACATGGCGACAGGTAAAAAGTAAACATGGCCCTGTGGTACCAGCCGGCTCTCTCTCCTCACAGAAGCGCCCACTCCACTGATAACTGTCACATAGTGTCGTAATAATGTTTTCCTCAAGGCGGCTAAGAGGATTTTGCTCATGTCTGCAGGCCAGAGTCCCGCCGTCTAACGACTTCAAGGTGGGAATGAAGCTGGAGGCTCACGACCCGCGGAACTCCACCTCGGTGTGCATCGCCACGGTGATGGGCCTGACCGGCGTCCGCCTGCGCCTCCGCCTGGACGGCAGCGACAACAGCAACGACTTCTGGCGACTGGTGGACTCCTCAGACATCCAGCCCATTGGCAGCTGCGAGAAGAACGGCGACATGCTGCAGCCGCCGCTGGGTAAGAGCAGCGCCGCCCGGGGTCGTCAGAGGGGTTCCACTGGAATATTCATAGTCTTTAGACCACATGTCAGAGGTGTGTGCGCACGCAGTTTGTGATTGTCCTCTGGAAAGTCTGTGCTCTTTGGAAAGTCGACAACAGGAACCAGGGGCTAAAAAGGGATACAGAGGAGAAATTAAAACCGTAAAAGTGAGGTAGTTTTTTTTGGTTTTTTTCACTCCTCTGACCATTTATGGGTTTTGGGGTTTCCAGCGATAAATGTTGGAAACTGGTCAGCTTCAACCTTTTTTGTCATCTCAGGTTTTAACATCCAGAGTAACTCATGAAATCAACACACAGGTTTTGTCATTTGAAATGCTAAGATTCTAACTAACTAACTAACTGTCTCCCCCAGGCTTTCGCATGAACGCCTCCTCTTGGCCGATGTTTCTATTGCGAACCTTGAATGGAGCCGAGATGGCGCCGGTAACGGCCTTCAAAAAGGTTTGCATAGCTTTTCGAGAGGTTTCGGAAACGTTTCCGACGAAGGTGGAGGCCAAATCCCCGAGCCCGGCTCTCATCTTTTCTCCCTGCAGGAGCCTCTGAGGCCCCCCCAAAACACTTTCAAGCCCGGTATGAAGCTGGAGGCCGTGGACAAGAAGAACCCCTACCTGATCTGCCCTGCCACCATCGGAGAGGTGAAGGGCGATGAGGTGTTCATCATGTTTGACGGGTGGCGAGGCGCCTTCGATTACTGGTGCAAGTTCGACTCCCGGGACATCTTCCCCGTGGGCTGGTGCTCTCTCACCAAGCACAGTCTGCAGCCGCCGGGCAACAGTGGTAAGTGTTCGACTCTAGATGGCAGCAGATACCTTTATTTTGTTTGTGCGTCTATGTTTGTAGGAGCTGTGTAGATATACTTTTATCCATCTAGTCTTGTTGGATAGATATACAATTCTTACTTCCTGTAACAGCCAGCCTGTCAAAATAAGGTTATGCAGCCAAAAGTGGAAGCCTTCAGCACGGCCCCTGCTGTTAAAAAAAACAAAAAACAAATCCAAAAAACGTCCCCTGCTCCGGGTGAGCAGGATCCAGCAGGTATGGCGCAGAGCCCTCGAGGTGTGTCTGTGTGGGGGGAGGGGTCCGGCCGGGTCGCCAGTGGGAAGTGCAGGGGGAAAATTTATGCTCCTGACATCACAGCCGTTTACATAGCAAAGAAATGTTTACATAAAAGCAGCTCTGTTACTTCTCCCCCGTCTGAGCCCCAGACGGACGGGCCAAGAAGATCGAACACCTGGAAGGCTTTCAGCCTCACTCAGGTCTTCTGCTCAAGGCCGAGCTAAATTACCAGCTCACAGGCGAGCTGGAATGGAACCCTGAGAGTTTCCTCTCTGCTTACCTGCCGTCTAATATCTGATCGGCTCCAGGAGATTGCTTGGTTACCTGCCTCTCTTTGGCTCTGGTACTGTTGGAGAATAGGGAAAGTGATACTTAATATTAAGATAAACGGCTTGTTAGAGGAGCAAGTGGGTGTTAAAAGTTAAAGAATCTCTTTACTTGTCTTGGAAAGAAATGGTGCTTGCATACACCAAGGAAGATAAGCAGGGGGAGAGTATGGATGAAAAATAAGGTTTGTTTATGTATTTATTTATAGATAAAGACATTCAACTGGTTGGTCTCCACTTAGTTTCATGTTAAGTTTTATCTGGATTTCAGCCTGACTGTAAGAGACAATGACAGATAGTTTGTTTCCCTAAGAAACCCGGAGAGGCTCCAGCTAATGGGACATGTTCTAAACCGAGCCAGCTTTTTTTAGGACCCGTTTTCACCTCCCCCGTCCATGCTGTGGTTGCAGTCACCCTCCCAAAGAACCTGCAGATGCTCCCGTCCTCGCCCTCCAAGCCCAGCCGGCGCTCCATGCCGTCCTCCTACCGGCTGCCCAGCCCGCTGCCCCCCCTGCCCGTCAGGAAGGGGGTCCGGGGCCGCCGGCCCAAGAGCGAGACCCTGGCCCTCCTCAAAGCGGTGGCCGAAGCGGCCGCCGCCCAGAACGGGGCGGTCCCGGACGAGGCGCAGCTGGTGCCCAGGGTCTACAAGAAGAGGGGGCCCAAGCCTGGGAGCAAGGTGGGGCTGGACACAGCAGGTTTTTTCCCCTTTTCCCTGAAAACTAATGTGTTTTAAGAGTTTTTTTTGTCAACGGCTATTCCTTTAGAGAAAATCCCGAGGTCTTCAAAGCCCAACGCAGCTGCCCAGCATCCAGGTTCCACAGGAGAGCCCCCCCAGCCACGGCTCGGTGGTTTCCACGGGTAACCACCAGCCCCCGCCCGCCTCCCTGTTCGCTGCCACGCCTTCTCCTCTCATCCATGGATTGACACATGGCTGTGTGTGTGTTGTTTTTAGTGTGCGTGTATGTGAACAAGCACGGGAACTGCGGCCCCCACCTGGACAGAAAGCAGATGCAGCGGCTGCCAGACCACTTTGGCCCCGGGCCGGTCAACGGCGTGCTCCAGCAGGTGGTCCAGTCCTGCATCGACTGCGCCTACCAGCCCAAGGTCCTGCTGGGCGCCCTGCACTCCGACTCGGGAGGGGGGGAGGTCGTCAGAGGTAACGGCCGCTCGCCACTCGGAGCGTTATCCGGGGGGGGGGCGTCGAACAAATGTAAAGACGGCTTGCGTGTCTCCCCAGTGAGGACGGACGGCGGCGTGCGGGCCATCCGGCTGCCGGCGGCCTCCAGCGCCTCCTTCGTGTTGCGCTTCCTGGAATCCATGTGCCGCCACCTCCAGTGTGACAACCTGTTCAGCAGCCAGCCGTTCAGCCACTACACGCCCTACGACCGGAACAAGTCCGGTCAGTGCTGCCGGGGATAAACCCTCCCACCGGCTCAGGATGTGGCCCCCTTTCCCCTCCGTTTTCAGTTAGTCTCACTAACTTACCCCCCCGCCTCTCCTGTGTTTCAGTGAAAGAGGAGGCGCTGGACGGCCCCTCCCTGGCCCGGGGGAGCAAACGCAGCCTGTCCGGGGTCTCGCCGTCCTACGCAGCCCCCCTGTCGCCCAAACATTTACGCGCCGAGGCCCACCCATCAGAAGGTACTGCCCACTCTGTACTGAAGCACTAAGTCTCACATAAAACAGTCAGAAAGAGGACACACATACAGCCAGCTGGACGGCCGTCTGCTCGGTCAGTCCTCCCTCAGCCCGGGGGAGGCGCTCATTTCTCATTTGTCTGTAACTCAAACGTACCCCCATAAGAAATAGTTTGCCTGAGGTCAGATGAGGTGACCTCCGGGTTCGGTTTGATTTTCTGCATTTTAATAGAACTTGTTTGGCGTTTGTCTCCCTCCAGCAGAAACGATGCCCCACGAAGAGAACGGCCACATGAAAGAGCAGCGCTACATGGACTCCGCCTCCAACTCCATGACCCCGCGGCCGCAGGCGGCCAGGAGCTCCTCGGAGTACCACTCCCACTCCGGCAGCCTCTACCACCTGAGCAGCAGCAGCACGCAGATGAGGCGCCACTCCTCCAGCCTGTCCGAGCTCGGCTCCTCGCAGCCCCTCAGACGAGTAGAAGGTAGGGAAACAGCCGGGGCCCAGACCCCGGGGCCTGTGGGGTTCCTATCGCAGCCTCACTCCCCGCTGATGCCTGCTCTCTCTGGGTCTGCCCGCCCCCAGCAGCCAGCTCCACCACAGGCCCCGACGCGCTGGGCTCTGACCGGGAGAGCCTGCAGCTGCCGGGGAAGAGCCCGGCCTCCTGGTCCATCGAGGAGGTGATGCAGTTCGTCAGGGACGCAGACCCCACCGCGCTAGCTCCTCACGCTGAGCTCTTCAGAAAACACGTGAGTTAGCCAAGAGAAAGGCGTATTAGATGCATTTGTTTCTACACTCCACATCCAGAACAAAAGTCCATCTTTTGGCCGGCTCTCTAACGGGAGGCTGTGTGTCCTCAGGAGATCGACGGTAAAGCTCTGATGCTCCTGCGGAGCGACATGATCATGAAGTACATGGGTCTGAAGCTGGGCCCCGCCCTGAAGCTGTGCCATCACATAGAGCGCCTCAAACAGGGCAAGCTGTGACGGGACACATGGCGGGGGGGGGCAGCCCCCACCACACCCAGAGCAGCAAGCCCAGAAACGAACAGCGTCCGGACCCCCGGCGTCGGGCCACGAACAGGGCCCGAGGTTCTGCCGGATCCTTTCCAGGAGGGGACGGACTAGATGTTACAGCTTCATCCCAACTTACGAGTGGACAACAAGTGTGCCGTGACACGTTACCTCATCCCCTCATCAGTGGACAAAAAGCTCTTCAAGTCTAAAAAAAACAAACAAATAAGACTAAGAAAATCCCAAAGGAAAGTAATCCCTGTTGCGTTTACATGGCACAACGTGAGGACGCTTTTTTTTTTTCTATGGAGATGAAATGTCTTGATCCTGGTTTTGGATCCCCAAAGATGGAGAATGTTTCTTCTTATATAACGTTTTTATCCTTGTCGAATTTCAAATTCATGCATAATAGTCTGTGTACGGGGCTGGGGGGGTTATCGACGTTCTTCCTCTCGCTCATGAAGAGATCTGACTGTATAGCCGTTTCACCCCCCCCCACCCCGGCGGTTCCCTTTGCCCGGAGCCTCACAGCTGAAGCTCACCTAATGTTACTGGGGCTTATTTTTCTTTTTATACTGAACGTTTCCGTTTCCCAAACCTCCCCCACCCCCACACAGAATGGCCACCTGCGTGTGCGTTTGTGTCTTAGCGGGTCCACAGTTGCCTGCGAAACGGTCGTCATGCAGTTCAGCGTCAGTTTACATCCACTCCCGCCACGCATCGCTTTCTCATTTCCAGCGCACAGAATCTTTTAGGAAGGAAGAGATGACATTTCTAAGGGCTTACGACATCACGTTTTTAAAAAAATGTTTGTTTTGTTTTGTGTATCTTAACCGATCATGTCATTTTTAGCTCGCAGTTTCTGCCCGAGACCTCAGTGTTGGAAAGAGATGTGTACAGTTGTTCATTTTTTTCCTTTAAAAAAAAAAATGGGTTTAACCATGAATATCAGCAACCGAATGTACATTTTGTAGAAACTTGATATTTTAAGGAAATCAAATAAGCAAGATAGTAATGTGAAGATAAAGGGGAAGGAGGGGAATATTTAACAGTGGTTTTTATTATTCTTTTTAATACTTAACGCTGCGCTTTTTAGCTCCCCTGCTCCCACCGCTAGACCCTGCCTCGCTTTACTTACGACATTTCTCAGGTTTACGTGCTCTCTTTTGTTAGTAGAAGCTTTTGTAGCATCATGTTTATAATATAATATCTAAAGAATCTTCCCAGTTTACCCGCCCCAAGACTCGTGCCATATAAGTGCTGTCGATTTAACTCGTGCATTTTTTTTAAGTACTTGAAAACTATGTTGCAAAACATCAATTGTCCATTAAGTCGCAGGAGATACGAGATGTGTTCATGTTTTTTTTTTTGTTTTTTTTTCTCTTTTTCTATAAAAACGACCGAAACCAAAAGAAAAACGCACATGTCTGCATTGAGTTTTTTTTCTTTTCTTTCTTCACCCGTTTGCTGCAAAATGGAAGCATATAAAAAATAGCGCGATGTGGAAAATGAGCTAGAACCGGGGCCTAAAAGTGACTAAGGCAACTGTCAGCTACAGGCAGAGGTCCATGACGCTGTGCTTTGCTGTCTTTAAGTTCTAAAACAACCATTAGCAGTCAGAACCCCAAGCGGTTTTTTTTAGCATTTTTTTTAGAGAGACTTTATAAACCGGTACGGTCAGATTTATTACTTCCCTTTCCATGATTATCTTCCTACATTATAAACACAGAGAGGAAAACACGCTAAACAGCAGCTGGAATTGGGACTCCGGATGGAATTAGAGCTGTTGTGATGAGTGATGAACAGTTACACAAAAAACATTTTTTTATCCACAATTGTTTGTCCAGAAATTGTCTCTCAGAAGAAATGGCACCCACCAGACTCACTTTCAAGTCCAAAACTTGCTTTTCCCCCTTTTTAAACTGGCATATGCTTGAATATTAGATCCGATTTTGCGTGTTCATATGAGAATTTGAGAACATAATGAATTGTTCCTCAGATTAAATTTTTCTTACAAATTTTTTAAGCCATATTTACTTTTAAATAAGCCATCTGAGAAGTCCGTACTTGGCTCAGGTGAAGGTGAATCATGCAAAATCAGCCACAAATGACTTTTTTCTTTCCTTTATGGACCATTTCCTCCAATTTCACTAAGAAAGCAATCACATTTTCAATAAAAACATGATAAAAACAACGCACAAATAAAAAAGTTTTAGGACTCACGTCCACCTCCACACAAACAGCACAGAATGCAAACATTTAACTTCCGGCACATTCTTTTTTTTCCCATTTTCTTTTTTTTTTTATACTGTGGTCAGACACAGGGTGGCAATGTCTTCTCATCCAGTCAGTCTTTGTCTCCCATCTGACCGTCCAGTACATAAAAACACTATAAATTAAAACGTTTCACAATTAATAATTTAGGGCGAGATTCAGTCCAAAAGGCGTCCAGAGCTGTCCGCTCTGCTGACGTAAGTTACGACGTTCTGGAGCTGCTAAAGCACATAGTTATAAATAAAGAACTGCTTAAAAAGGTATTTTCCATTTCTGATCGTTTGCGCGGTCTGCATATGGCTGTTATTAGCTCTTGGCCTGCAGCGTGCAGCTTTACATAACACATGATCACAGAGGGGGTAACGCTGTTTTGACAAAATAGGCAAGACACCCTGTGAGTCTTTCAACTAAACTATGACAAAGTGCACTACATATGATCAACAAACGGCGTGCAAACACATCTGGATTTTAAAAAAGAAAAAAAAGTGCCTCACACAGAAAAAAAAAGTGTCACAGCAACACTTCTGATGTAAAAGGGGCCAGATTTCGATCGATACGCACTTTCAAATCTTTACCCCCCCGCCACCGCAAAGAATAGAACATCTTCTTTGTCGCCATGGTTCCCTTCGTTTCCCCTCCGAGGCTGATGGTCCACATTTCCACCTTCATCTCCTAATTAAACGGCAGTGAGGGTTTAGATATTTGACAACACTTGCTGCAAGGCGTTTTTCTAAACTTTGGCTGGTCCAGCCAACAAAATGTCCCCCTCGGCCCCCCCCCCCTGCAATGCTTTTGCTAAAATGTGAGAACAATGAAAAGGCCCCTGCTGTTAAACAAAACAAGGATGTGTCCTGTCAGATGTTGCCAACATGCATTTGCCGAAAATTGTGGGCTCCGGTCCTGCCAAGTCCTCATCGGCCTGTCAGGATAAATCCCAACCAATCAGCATGGAAGGATTCGCTTCACTGAGCTAATGAGGAGGGAATTTCCATTGGTGAGGTTAAGGGGGGGGGGACGTGTTTTAACTTGGTCACATCATCGCAGTATGCAGCTCGTTTTTTTTTTTTTTTAAATGAAAGGTTTTCAGTGCTCTTACACAAAAATCTCACGATGAGACAAACCGCGGACCCAAAGCAGAGGATGGGAGCCACGTGTCTCTGCAAAGTCAAAAAGCGTTGATTTATCTAGACAAAGACACACAAAGTACCCATTAAGCTGCCGTACAAAACACAGACAAAAGATCAAACATTTCTGGATTAGTGCAACTCTACAGGCTAGCACGTTTTTTTTTTTTTTGTTTTATGTTTTTTTCAAAACTCACACCAAAGGAAACCGCTGCGGTAGTTTCTGTGTCACGCCGTGGCACGTTCGTTTTGGGGGCTAACTGCTGTCCGGTTACACAGACCCAATGACCGTTTTGATTAGCGAAGGATGCCTCGTGTGGTCAACGCTACTCTCTGGTGCGGACCCAACAGGACCGTCCAGCGATCGCCCCTCCCTGTGCTGGGCGCGGTCACTTCCTGGGCAGCAGCGCGGCGAGTCTCTGCTTCTTAATGGGGAGGAAATGGATTTCCTGCGAGCTGACCTTCTTCAGTTTGATGGCTCTGCTTTTGGAGGCCTTCTTGTGCGGGTTGTTGGGGTCCGGCTGCTCGCGGTGGGGCGCCGACGGCATCCCGTAGAGCTGCTGCAGGGCGGCCCCCTGGCTGCCGTCCCGTTTGATGGAGAAGTTCTTGGTGGACACCCCCGACAGCCCCTTTATCTTCCCGCAGAGGATGGCCGGGATGGCGTCTTTCACCGAGACGATGACTTTGGCCGTCTGCGAGGTGCTGACTATCTCCAGGTTTCCGGCGCCGCTGAGGGACGCGTCCTTGCCCAGAGAGCTGGGCCCGCCGGGGCCGGTGTCCACCAGCCACTTGTGCTGCCGGCTGAACTCCAGGGACGCCAGGCTGCCCAGGAGCTTGGAATCTAAGCTCTGAGTGCATTCCACGCCCAGAGACAGGGCGCCTGCATCCGGACCCGACTGGAAAGCTACCTGTCTGTCCGACTGGACGCACTTTTTCCTCACGCCAGGCATGGATAAATCAAGCGCACCGTCCTCCTGCGGGCTGAGATATTCTTGTTTTGGTTCGATGGGACACGCCCGGACAGAGAGGTCCAGAACCTGTCCGTCTGGAGGAGGCAGGGCGGATGGCGACGGGTTCGGGGGTCGGAGCGCCGGCGTGCATTTTCTCGAAGACAACGAGGAGGAGGTAGTGTGTTTTGGTGACGTCTGAGTGCTTTTGCTCACAGTGCAAACTGGCTTGGGCATGTTGCCCTTGGAGTCCTCAGTCTGAGGCACGGGAATGGGGATCGGAAGAGGGACCGGCAGAGGCACGGGCAGGGGAATGATGACGGGGTAGGGGACCAGGAGTGTGGCAGGAGGGACCAAAGGGGCCAGGGGGGAGGCGTAGGGGGGCGCGAGCGGCGGCAGGGGGAAGACGGAGCCCGGGGACTGGCAGGCCGACGAGCCCGCCTGAGGAGGGAAGAGGTCCTGCAAGATGGCTGCAAAGGCCGGATTTTGCAGGAGGGAGAGCAGGTTGGCGTCCTGGGTGGGTCCGGCCGTCTTGGGGTCAACAGCTGGAGACAGGCCGAAAGTCAAAGGATTGGGACACAGGACGTTGTTCTGCAGCTGTGCGCAGCTGGCGCCGGGAGGGATGACCGGCGGGCCCATGTGCTGGAGGACCTGCTGGTCCAGAACCAGCGGGAGCGAGACCGGACTCTGGCTGGTGATCAGGTAGGGCGCCGCCCCCATCTGGCCCAGCTGTGGCCCCGTTCCGCCCATCTGGAGGTGGATGGGCAGCATGAGCGGGCTCTCCCCCAGGCACACTGGGTGGAGCACGGTGGTGGCCACTTTGAGGGCGACTCCCCCCGGAGATTCGGCCGCGGGGCTCACCACGGCGGGCGCCGGCGCGTCGGCGTGAGCGGCCAGCCCTGCTTTGTTCAGTCCGGCCACGCCGCCATCGCACGGATCGGACGCCGGCTGATTCGCTCCCTCTTCCGCCTTGCCGAGGACCTCCCCCCCCCCCTCCTCGCTGCCGCACACGTCCACCTGCGACGGCATTACGGTCAGGGGCGCGTCGCCGTTACCTTCCATGATTCAGCCGGAACGGTGGAGAAAGATGACCAAGCGCTAGTTTGAGGCCTCGTCCATTGGTCGGCTGGGCAGCCCTGAAAGGCAGGAGAACACAGTGTTTGACGAGGAGCAGTGAGCAAAAGAAAAAAAAAAAAGCACGTGCTGCTGAGCCCTGTGGAATTTTTGTCCTCTCGAGGCACGCCACTGGAAGGACGCCTGCTGCGTGTTGTGTCTACTAAAGCTCAGAAATGATTCACAACCACAATAAAACATTTTGGGATTTTATGCAAATGCAAAATGAGGGCCGACATATTACAGAGGGGAAAAACTGTGCTGCCGAGGTGGTGCTGCCTTGCCTTTCAGCCTAATCAGTGCTAAAGCCAATTCCAAAGAAGCTGTGCAGCTGTGGAAAATGTAAATCATAATATAAAAAAATAAATAAATACAATGCAGTGATCTGCAAATCTATTCAGTTTATATCTTATTCAGACAGAAATCCCTCCACTTTGAAATTCAGACTGAAATTTCACTGATTTAGCTCATCTGGAATAAAATGTCTCAAAAGAGGTAACAAAATTGGAAAAGTAAGCTGCTTTAAAAGAGGAAAAGCTGAAAGAGGACAGTTACAGACTAACATTAACTAAAGTTAATGTCATGAAAATCAGACCTGGGATCAGCCTGCTCTTAGCTCTCAGTTCAAAAGCGTCCTTCCTCCTCTGTTTGTTGCTGAGTTTGCCATTAAATGCAAGATAAGCTACCAAATACCAAAACATCTCCATTTCAACCTTAAAAATGTTTTGACGCTTCATTGCACAAAAAAATATTCCAATTTTGTTTACACTTCATGCACTGTCCCATCTTTTTTTAAAGTCTAACACTCCAACACTTGTGTGACATGCACAACTCGGTTTAAAGGCAATAACAACGGAAATAAACAACTCCAAAAACCTCAATCCTGGGATTGTACCCACCAAGTCAAAGTGTTGTACCACAAGCCCGGGGACTATTTCTCATACTCGACAGAGCTCCTCGACATGTGAGTTTAATCAACAGCTTTCACAATCTGAGGAAAACTTCCTGCAAAAGGTTGAGCAAAAACAGAAGAGACATCCTTTCAAAAAAGTCAAATAAGTAAATAGGAGCAAATCGAAAGCTAGTACAAAAACGCCATGATCATCAGGCAAGGCACAAGGTTTTATCCCCAATCGCTGAAACAGGGCAGGAAAATGAAATGATTGGCTGACTTTTTGCTCCTTTTTCAGCTAAAAGAAATAGAAAATGTTTTGGCATATCTGCTGAGGAGAGGGAGAGTAACTGGGCTTTGGTCAGGTTGCTGGAAGGCCTGTGTTGTAACGACCGTTTTACTTCGATCTCAGTGTTTGACAGATTGGCCGCTGATCTCGGGGGAGGTGAGCACAGCTCCTACTCGATGCTGAGTTTTGTCAGTCTATTTCCAACCCCCCCGCCCTTCTTCCTCCACCATTCACCTTTGATTCGGATGAAAGGGCACTATGTCACTTTAAGCCTTTTAAATAGCAAGATACTGCTGCACAGAAGCTAACATATCGACCCAGAACGGGTCACAAAAGCATAGAAACCCGGTCATAATAAGACTGTATCTGTTGCAGTGGTGTTTTCATACTGTAAGCTGTCTAGGTGTTGGCTCCACCCAGCACAGGTCCTCCCTGGGCTGGCTGTCAACCCCCATCCATCTGTAATGATAAAACGTCCCCTGGGTGCCTGGAGAGAGACACTGCATCCAATATCAGCAAAGTCAATTATTCATACAGAAGGGCGCAACAAGGACAATGTGCGCCTCCTGGTTTGCGAGGTATACGTTAACTCTTTCGCGACAGAATATTTTCTGTACATTCTTTTTGTGAAAAACATTCAAATGGAGGCACGCAGTTCCAATTTTTTCCAATAGAGCTGTGACAGTTTTTTTCCCCAAACGGGCAGCTTTCATCTGGTATAGGGTTGCCTCAGCAAGCAGTGAGGAGGAGATCTCCATCCCCCTCAGGCTGGTTTTATATTGTTCTGTAACATAGATGAGACATTGTAACGGGGCTCTGATGGATTACACTGCGGACTATGCAGGCAGGGAGTGATCTTGTACAGGATTCATGCTCGAAAACATCTCTAAACATACTTTTTAACATCCAATAACAGCTGGCGGTAACCAGCTTTATGTGCTGCTTCCACTTCTTGGTGCTCACTGCGCAGACTCATCCTACAAGTCATGGAATCAGCAGGCCAGACAGAAAGGACTTGAGTAAACTGTTGACTCAATTAATCAAACAACCGTCTGGCTGTGCAGTTGTGAAGGAAAAAAGCCTCTTTCAACATATTCTGAGTCTCGATTCGTTCCAAATTTTTCTCTGCTCCTTATTTTGAAAAGCAAAGAATTGGGTCTAATTTAGGACTATGAATAGGAAATTCAGATCCATTATTCCTCTTCTTGGATGCTGTGGTCTTACTTGCATTCCAGGAAGTTCGAGGAAAGATATTTCCTGCTTGATAACGCGGTCATGCGGTCTGCGACACCATGGTGCCCCCCTGACCAATATGAAAGGACTCTTTCTTGGTTGAGACTCCCTTACTGTCACACACTCCGATGATTTGTCCCGGTTGTGCACAAAGTGAGGAAACAACCCAGATTATGAAGTCACTTAATCGTTCCTCTCGGCTCAGAAAGCAGCCTTTTTTTAAAAGGGAGAAGAATTCCAACCGCATTTCTGGGCACTACTGCAGATCAGGTGACCTGATGCTAAGGGAGTAATCGCCACTCGGTGACACATTGCCCCTCCCGCCGCCTGCCCGCAATGCAGTTCACAGGTCACTGCGCCGCCTCCAGTCCACTTCAATCACGTGAGAACAATGTCGAACTCTGCAGACCAGCTGGAGGAGGAAGTCTCAGCCGCACACTTTGGAGGGATCCAAAGTACACAAAAGCTAGGGCTCATCTTTGTTGTTTTCCGGTCACATTATCTGACTCAGTGACTCTGCTTTGTCTCCCTGTTATCTCAGATAGGAGAAGGTCAACCAAAGATGTCTCATCAGCATCATTTCACAACACTTTCGTTCTTGCTGACCTGCGAGTTGAGGGACTTTTGGTTAGTCCTTCTTCCCTGATACCTTCAACCTATGGCGAAAGAGCGAAGAAAAGAGTCACACACGGGCTGAACGCACCAGGGAAAAGCCACAGTGGACAGGTCTGACCATTATCGGTCACTTAAACCTAACTTTGCTCTAGTGAATACCTTCAAGATCCGAATAATTTCCGAATTCAGGGGGACGCCTGCAGAAAGCATTCCCCCGTTTTCCAAAATAGACAGCAGAGTTTATGGATGAGGCTGTTTTTGAGCTGCCCAAGTGTAACGCCATTTTCGCGCAACGTGAGCTCATGTGAGAGGCACGCAACACTAACAAACCTTCAATTATGTGTTCGAACGAATGCAGAGTATTTTGTTTCAGCCGAGCAAATCAGCAGCACATTTGCCTTCGTAAATCTCACACGTCATCTGGAAGAGGTCTGTGTTCACAAGCCAGTAACAGCTAATTGAGTAAATAGGCAAGAAGAGACCCAACGGAGAGCCAAATGGGATCCCTCCCCTGTCCCCGTTACTTTAATTATTTCCACATTTCCCCTCCCTTTTTTTTTTGCCACTTTGATGGAATGTATAGGATGGAAAGTCGGTAGCAGAGAGAAAACAACAGTCCCCTCGATCTGGAGCGAATGCGCAGCCTACCCAGGGAGCCAGCGTGCTTTCTCCCATGAATCTTCCTCCTGGGTGTGGAGCACAACCCCAGGAAACAAAAAGGACTAGTGCATGGATGAAGCATGGCACATAATCTAAAGGTCAACTCCATCAACACCCCTCCGCTCCACCAGCCAATTACATCTCATTACAGACACACGGGGCTGCCGTCAGGGCGCACACCCCCCTTCCCATCAATGCAGATTATCTTTTATTCAGCATGTAGTCCTCCAGCTGATCCCCTAAATGCCACAGCGATTCCAGTGTCGACATGACAAAGGGCCAGGTCTACTTTAAAACAACCCAGAGGGTGACAAAGGGGACGCTGCTTTCACAGCAACCTGCACAACAAAGTCAGTATGTCAAAAATATGTAAGTCTGAGTATACATTTGCACCTGACATGAACTGGACATTGTTTGCAAATATACTATCTGAGTCCATGCCTGTGGGGACAGTACCATGGGGCTACATGGGACTATGATAGTCACCTTTCTTCTTCATTATTATTATTATTTTCCACTTTCGACGCACTTCACAGTGGCAGGACAAAGGCTATTTGCGACAGGGTCCCTGGCTGTGGAACTGCCGGGGTCATGTGAGGATTTTTTTTTTTTTCTTTCCATGTCCTCGCGCAGACGGCCGCTTCCCAGACAGGCGCGAGCCCGGTGCCCCGGCGAGCCGACGGCGGTTCTCGGGCAACGAGAAGCAGGGGAGGGCTGTGCGCCGTGTTTATGCGCACATCCCCGAACAGCGAGGGCCAGTAAACACAGCAGGAGAGAGAGAGAGACAGGGAGAGGGAGAGGTGTCCCCGCACCGTGCGATAACCTGTTATCATACGGAAATATCCCCCTCTCGGCCCTCTCGACTGGCGTAAAATTAACGGCAGGCGCTCGCGCTGTCACAACCCCCGCGCGCGGTGTTGACACCGTAAGCTAGCTGCGCGTATCGTCTGGAAAATTGGCATAGAAAAAAAAAAGAAAATATATCAAATAATAGTCCTTTCGGAGCAACGAATAAACAAGTCGCTGAGCAGCTCCCAGTCAAACAACGTCCTATTGTCGTTTGACGTTTCGGCGACATTATAGAAACCATAAAAGCCGTCGCTCACCCCGTTTCATCCCCCCCAGTGCCTTTTAACGCGTTCCTTCCATTAAATGCGCAGTTTTGCTACAAGCCACAACCTTTTACTCACCTTTCAGGAGGACGAGAGCATTAGCAGCTATCTCTGCGAAATGTTCGCTCCCTATCAGCAGTGAAATTAGACCCGTGATATTAAAAAAAAAAAAGGAATAGATAAGGTCGCTATTTATCTCTTCATTGCGGTCCCGTCGTAGAGACTCCAGACGAGAGCTGCGCACGCAGCATCGTCACCGGGTCTCTCTCCTCCCCCCCCCCCCCCCCCCCCTCCTCCTCCTCCTCTTCCTCCTCCACCACCTCCCCCTCCTCTGTCTTCTTCCACAAAGAGACATATAAACTCAAAGATATTAAGAGTGGAGATATACAACAAATAAAGCATAGTTTGGAAATTCGATGTAATATTTAGCATCCGTTATTTTCCCCCCCTGGCTAATTTACATTCTTATTTAGGCTCAATTCAATGTAAACTTGCCTGTACAAGCATTTCTTGGACTTTATTTATGCTGTGCGTCTTCAGTTTTCATGACAGATTTATATCATTTGAATTCTCACTGATCTTCAAACGGATTTTCTTTTCTCCCGAGAACTTCGATTAATTTTGTAGTACTTTATGTAGCTCTTATGGAAGAACTTGGCATCACAAAGGTTTTACAAATGGTCCCGTCTTTCAGCTGAGACAACAAAGTGAAATGAATGATGGTACTGTGAACGATCAAGATGAATTTTCATGGTCGTATGTAATTGCTGACCTTCCGGAGGCGTTGGATTTGTGTTCTTTCTCAGTGATATTTGACCATATTGGCCTGGTGGCTGATGGCTGAGGTAGGAGGAGAATGGAGGCTGGCAGCTGAGGGTGGGAGTCTGGTCGTGACAGGCCTGGGTGATCCGGCTCCCCTGGGTTTCCATATCAGTCCCAGCCAGCCTCGGGCTCCGCCGCAGGGCCTCTCATTGTTCCGCAGGGATGCTCTTTAATGCACTATAATGAGCTTCACACTATACCCTGGTGGCTCAATGGTGACTTTGGTGTGGCTACCTCCTCAGTTCATCCCCCCCCCCCCCGTATCCCCCTTTTTTTCGGCCCGTCTAACGTAGCTGTTTTAAATCCAGTTACAAAAGAAACAGTTAGTTCTGCATATCCCCTTTCAGTTGTAGCATTTTGCACCAGACAGAATTCTTACAAATCCTCTCAGTTTTGTTAGTTTTAAGGGGAATTTTGAAAACCGGAAAGTAGAAACCAGTAGCTTAAGGCATAAGCGGAGTCCTTATTTGTTATACAAAAAGTAATCCAGGATACAAAAGAAGTGGGAGAAAAACTAAGCCCACACCACAATTAAGGACAACATTGGAAAAATGTGTATTCAACTCATGGACGCTGATAGGGATTGATTTATTCACAGAGGTTCCATTACAGTATTTTGATCAGACTGAGGTCTGGACCTGGACTGGACTACTGAAACCCCTTGATTTTTTCTTTCTTTCTCGGTTATTCTGTTGTAAATTTGTTGCTGTGTTTAGGATTTGTCTTCCATCACACGACCCGATTTAGTTGTCCAACACAGTTGCCATTAGCTGTGTTTGGTTTTCTCCACACGTGTTGGGCATTATAGCCAGACTTCTCTGCTTTGATCCCATCTGTCCAAAAGGACAATAATCAATAGTCTTAATATATTAGATAATATGTTAGATATCTGTTTTTGTACACGTGTATTTGGCTTTGGCCCATTGTCAATTCAATTAGTCATGAAGTCATTATCATGAGATGTTTTTGTATACTTTTAGTCACGGTGGAGGTTTAAAATTTTTATAATGTTCTTATTTGTGTAACCATAGAATTTAAAAGGGGCATATTTCTTTACTGAATTGTATACATCATTTGTCTTTAAAAATATCCAAACAAAAATTCTACCTGTCAGTCCTGTCCATATAAATTGGATGTTAAAACCAATATCTGTCAAAACAAGAAAAAGATATGGTTGGATTTTGGGACTGCCAGAAAACCAGTGGAGACACCATCAACTCTTCAAATAATCATATTGACTATCCTGAATAGTTGGTAGTTATCAAAGTTTCACTGTTAGAAGATTTTTTTTTTCACATTTACCTTCAACCCAACTCTGCTTTTCCTGATGGTTCAAACAAAATCTCACTTCAGAAGTAACTGCAAAGTTATAGATTCTCATTATTATGTTTTTTTTCTGTATTGCACAGCCTATTTGCTCAATATTGATGATAGAAAAACTTTTTAAAAGCATTAAAAAACTCTTTAGGTCAGTGTCTCTCAAAATTCAAGCAAAGTGGAGCTAAATTCAAAAGAAAAAGAAAGATAACAAAACAAAAGCTCATGGTTGCTGAATGGGGTCATACATTACAAACATTACATTAAACAAACACATCAATACATCACATTTGCATTCTGCCTTGTGCCAGCATGAGGCAGAATGCAAATCTCTCTTACTGTCTGCTCTCTCTATTACCGTCAGTTCCACAACAAAAAGTAAAGGCAGTCAAATTTCCCCATGGAGCTGCTGTCATTTGCATATTTTTTTGGGCTCAAATGTTCTTCACAATAGCATGATTTAGCCGGCTGCTCTGGTCTGACAACATCCAGATTATTAAAAGATATGGGTCACATCCCCAAAAACCACCGTGTGCGGTTCAGTAAAAGACTTTTACCGCGCTGGGCTTTTGGCCGTGTTCGCACATTTGAGGAGCGCTCGGGAAGAAAGCGCGGGATGGCCGAGCGTCCAAAGAAGCTGTCATGTGCTGACCGCTGCTCCATTTTCTCAGCTCTGTCGTGCTGGCAGCTCCACCACTGTGAGCGTGCACTTTCAAAAGGTTCTGTCTTTAACTCCTGACCAGTCGTGAAGGTTTCTTCTGATAGATGCCAGATTTGTGATTGCCACTATGGGCTTTGAAAAAATCAAGTGGACTCTGAAACAGAGCTTAATTATGATATGTTTATATACATCTATGTTTGGATTTCGGGCCTGCAGCATATTGTAAGGTGGGGACAGTAACTTCTTTGTAATTTGTGATGTTTGTAATGTTGGACTTCTCTCTATAAACTTAGAATGATATTATGGATATTATGGGGGACACCAATGATTAAATTATTTAGGTGTCATTGGAGCCCATTCTTTCCATTCAAATTTATATATTTCTGGACGAGCAATTGCAAGGCTTTGCTCTTGGTAAACCAAGGATATGGGATTTTTACTCCTTGTATTCTCTATTTGGCCCTCGTCAGGAGTACAGGCTGCAGTTTAGGCCTAATATCAGTAATCTTCAGCGTAGGTTGCACTAAAACTTTCAACGCACCATCACAGCTCAGTAAATGAGCTTTTCCAAAGGCACTGAGACAACCTCCCATTACGCAGCCTGGCTTTTGGAGTTACTGATTGCAGTTCGGGGGATTCTTGTTTTATGTTCGCTTCACACAGTCCCGAGGGCTATTCATTTAAAAACATCTGAAATACTGACACAACCCAACAACGTCCAGAGCAGCTGGTGCTGCTTCTAAACAATCTTAACAAGGCACCTTTTTTTGCACAGTGAAGTTTTAATATGGCATTTGTGAATGAATCTTTGTATTCCGGAAAATCTCAAAGGTTTCCCACAGAGATTGTTTTTCAGTTTGCTTTTGTTAATAATAATGACTCTACAATTTTTGGGTTTGTTCCCTTTGTTTTAAGTGTACTTTTAAAAAAAATTGATGGCTTAGATGCTTTAATGATATTATGCGCCACAGATAAAGAAAAATGCAATTCAAGGGAAATTCATTCTAAACAGTTTTTGGTTATTTTTCACACATTCGTGGGCAAACTGGAGTACCTCTGCCCATATATCCTCCTGAAAGGATAATCAATTCATGGATACCATGTCAGAAATACAATTATCTTTTAACATCACCTGTTCAAAATGGAAATATCCATTATTGTTAAAAAAAACCTGGTTTCATGTAGACCTTTGTCTAGGATTGCTTTTATGGACTAACATCTTTTACATTGTTCATGCCATCCCAACATTTCCACTCATTTCTGATTGAAGTTGTGAACGTACTTTCCTTTGAGAGGCTTGTTATAATTTGACAACGCCTTCTTTTTTTTTCTGACTGTCAGTGTTCTACATGCTCTGTTACTCCCAGACTGTCCTGTACAGCCGCACTAAGTGAATAGTGGTAAAACTTGTGTTTGGTCTTTCGGATGCCGTGACTCGCCTTTGTCTACCCTCTTCAAATTAAACAAAGATAAAAAATAGCGGTGGGAAGGCCTGTGCGCTATCTGCTGTGTAAAAGCTGGTGGACAAATAATGATACAAAGCCGGCAGTACATCACAAAGACACATGCAGATCTTTGAAGATGACCTCCATGAATTGGCGGTGAGATGCTGCAGAGCTAACCTTGACGTGCCGCATTAAACACTCATTCTGGGCACATCAGTCTACATCGCATTCCTGCTGCCTCCTGAACATTTCTTTTTTTTTTTTTTCATTTTTTAGAACAAGCACACTTGATTCCACCACCCTCATGGCCAAGTATTCTTGGCTCCGGTTCAAATCGGGGTCAGGGATCACGGCGAGTGTGCCCTTTGATGGGTACTTAGATGAGATGCCAAACAGTGCAGGCCTTTGTTTACATTTTTTCCACGTTCTTCTCTCACAGCCCCAGCTTAGCCGACACACAAGCACCAGAGAGAACAAGGCGTTTCTGTCCATCACCGGCCTGACATAAACCAGAACAACAAATTCATGCACTGCCCGTTTGCCTGGCGCAGAACCAAGAAAGTGACAAACCACATGGAGATCGGGCATTTAACCAAGAACTGGGGATGTTTTTTTACTGAATAAACATGTTCAAACTTCAAATCCCCCCCATTTTCAAATTCCACAACCCAAAGACACATACTTTGAAATATCTCAGGAATTGCATTAACTTACCCACAGCACTTGGTCCATGTTCCAGCTAAAGAACGCCCTCTAGTGGCCATTCACAATCAGTGCCTGACAGTGGAAAGGCATTTCTTTCTCCAGGAATTATTCTACTGATGTAAAGTGAATCTATGCTTTAAATATCACATAAAAATATTGCTTTCCATACGCCTGAATCTTTGCATAAGATATGTTTGTATGAGTAAATAAATGAGCAAATAAATAGATTCCATGTTCAATTTGATCAAGTTTGTCGAGAACAATAGTTAGAACAATGCTCTTATTTTGTCTTTTCGACAAAATAAAAGAACATGACTCAGTGGATGGTACAGATCTTTTAAATCTTGATGATATTGTGTTTTAAAAAGCTACCCTGACTGTAATGTGTGGATTCAACAGAAGAAAAAAACACAGACAGAACTATGTCGGGAATTGTGAAAAGTATTCAGATGTCAGAGTCAGAACGATCCAGCTGCAAAGGAATCAGGGAAAGGTCCTCCCAATGACCCATAATCTGCCACAGCAGATTATACTCAAGATGAATAGGCAAATATCTGTGCAAAAAGACCGAAATGGCAATCAATCCTGAATAATTCAAGCCTGAAGAATCAAACCCCTTCAATTTATATGAATTCAAACCAAATGGATTAGAGTGATCCTGATTAAACTCACAATCCTGACTAAACTAACCTGAAAATTCTTAGAGACTAACCTTTTGGGGGAGAAGCCATTTGAGCTGAAGGTTGTTTGGTTTAGAGTTTCATGTGTTAAGCAGAGTTTGGAGCGAGGGGTGTTTTGGGTTTTCATCTTTTCCTTACCGACATAGCAGGGTACGTCCTAATTTTTTCCCCCAGTTCTTTTGACTCTCTTTCCAGTAACAGAACAACTCTTTCCTTCTCAATTTTCTGCTTTGTGAGATATCAGTATTGACTCCTGTTATTGGGGTGCTTTTTCTCCTCTCTTCTGTCTTTTCTCCTGTGTGCTTTACCTGGACTTTTGATTTTGTACTTTTTTTCCCCTAATGCTTCTTGCCTTTTTCTCTGTGAGGCTATTTTTGCACAGCAGCTTTGCAAACCTCATTCAGAAAGTATTATGCTTTTAATGTGTTTGATCCAGAAATACAAAATGTGATGAAACTCAGGTTCTAATTTTGTGAGTGAACCTTTGATGGGATATAAGCTCTGCCAGCTGCCTGACTCTCTTTCCCATCTTTTAGCATTCCAAGAACATAATGCTGGCTGAGGGATTATTCTATTTTGTGGTTATTGAGCCAAGTCTATGGCTCGAGGAATATTTATTTGAAGGTATTTTGAATTAAGGGGCCCGCTGAAGTGAAAATCTCTATTGGTGGACAAAAAGTTAGTATCACAGTAAAGTATCAAAGTTACTATCCTCTGGGAGAAGTCACATGAGTTTGCTAACATCTCGATTGCAGTTCATGAATTTATACTTTCCTTGTTGGCGAGAAACATCCTCAAAAAAATGAATGTCTTCCAGCAGAATCCTCCGGTTGTTGTCAGACATAGCAATATCTCAGGCTGTTGCATGCACGTCTGAAGTCTTAGTACTCTTGTTTCCTTGTCTTTTTAATAAATCCCCCAAATTTCATTGTATCTGTTGTCATTTGTCTTTGCTCTTTGACATGTTCTGTTCGACAGGTGATTGGGGTAATGATGGGAATGTGTTGCTCTAAAACGTTCTAAAGAGATGAGCTCTAATGTCTTTGCACAGAAAAGAGCTAACGGTGTGAATAAATACAGGTTCAAAACCTGCGGAGACACATAACAGCACTGATAAACCAAAGGAATCAGTAATCAGTATCAATTTGAATGATAATCATTATAATGATGTGAAGCTGCATGATGCCTAATCCAGAGTTCACATAGCCAGAAAAGCTTAAATTTGGCACTACATATAATCTATACTTAACAGATGTTTGAGCGTAAACATGAATAATCTGTAATTACTGGGTTCAGGAACTATTTAAACTTTGTGTATCATGGAGTGACAACCTGTGGCACGCTGCCATCTTCCATAAAGACTCACTCAAGGGGTCTCTGAGGCAGTGATGCACACAAGAGGCTGGCCCAGTCGCTTAGACAGGGGGTGGAGGGGGGGGGGGGGCATTTTAAATGGATGAAAGCAGGTCTGTAGATACCAAGAGATCATTCTAACAGATAATCCTCTTAGTGATTCACAAACTGACTATAGTCAACTTATTTCTCAGATCAAAAGGCGGATTTTTAAAGAAGAAAGAGGCTTTCCCATTCCTTAATTGGCATTCCTTAACCCTAAAAGAAACAGTCAATTTTTCAGTATCTATGTGCATATTTCGAGACAGACATAGAAAAAGGCCTGGAATGATATTTTAATGTTTGTATTCTTGGGAAAAAAACTAGCTGAAGCTTGCCACATTTCAGCCACTATAAGACATCAACAGTAGGAATTGATTTAAAAATAAAAAACTGAAAAAAGCTGCATAAATATCAATGCAGCTTTAATAATAAAATCAATATCAAATGTAAGCATCACAGTAGGAAATAAAAAGGGTTTTTACAGCTATTCAAATGAATGCTGGTTATTGAGGTGACTTATTGATGCACAACTAATTTGACAACTCATTTTATCCATAGTAAGTCTATTTGGACTGAATCATCTGCAAAAAAAGTGTTTGCACAACTTGATTTCAATCTTATCTTCTATCTTTATAGTGCACAGTGTGATACCCTTCTCAGTAGAATGAAAGAAGTACAAAAACAACAGCCCAGATCCACCGTCATTTTCAAAGCAGTCACATTTATTTGTCGTTTATACATGTTTGCTAAGCAGCTCGTTCTGCTAGCACTTAGCTTTGATTCGCTAAGGGATTTCCACAACGCATACTAAAAAATAAATACAAGACCGAAAGTGTTCCACAACTCAAAAATATACAAAGGTTGTTTTTTTTAAATCAATGTAAACTTCGAAATCATGTTATTATTTTTTTTTTACACATAGAGACAGTTCAACAACTTTTGTGACAAGTCAGAAAAGTCATCATATTTACAAGTTTGTACAAAAAAAAGAAAAAAAAAACTGAACTGATGCCTACAGTACTGAATAGAGAGGATATTCTGCCATCCACGTCAGATGGATCTAGTACCTAATGCTCTGCTGGATCCACCTTTTTAGAACTTCAATCAAGTAAACAAGTGGAGAAAAAATAAAAAAAAACACCAACATGTGCTGCGCACGCTGGGGCTTTTTGGCAGGAGCATCGGCGTCCAAAAGGCTGACCGTAGTCAGATTTTTGTATCAACCCCCTACTCCAGGAAAGTTCAACCGCTCCATGAAAGCATCTATAAATATCTGCAGCTACAGCCAGAGACAAACACAACTTCACAAACATCACTCGATCAGTGCAGACGAGAAAAAAAAAAAGAAATAAAAGCAGTAGAGGAAACAGCTGGAATGAAGGGTCAGCGGTTTGACCCTTTTGCGTACCCTGTTGTGCGTCAGCTCTGTGGAGTGGCGTTAAGGCTGAACTGGAGTTGGCGTTGGCAGTGACTCGGTGAGGAAGGACTTGTTCGTCTCTTCGACCAGTGTCTCGCTAAAAAACATCCTATAAAAAAGAGCCTCTCTTTTGTAAAAATCATCACCTTCATAATTATCTGAGTAAAAACTGTGGTTTCCTTTCTCTTTTTTTGGGTTTGAACAAAAGCAAAAGTCTCTTGGCGTGCAGGAAAATGTCTGTCTCTCGGGTATAAAAATACATTTATTTGGATTGCTAATTTACACAAAGTACATCAAAGACCTGTTTTGTTTTTTTTGATGGGGGGGAAAAAAGATGGAGCAGCATTTGGCACCGATTAGCAGCAAATGCCAGCTTTCTCAAACTTCTTCTTTTCGTCAAACGTGATAAACTGGCTCTGCGTTCAACATCCTCCCATCAAAACTGAAAAATCACTTATTGCCTCGTGTCCGGTAAAGAATAAGGCATGTTTGATCCTCCTGAGCACTTTCCATTCACCCCTCCCAACAGCTCCTAAAACACACCAAAGTCAGCGAACCAGAAACGACCGTTGCTCTTAAAAACTCCTTCGTCTCAAACTGCATCTCCTCCTCCTCAAGCTTTTTTCGATCACTTTTTCACCTCCCATTTTAACACCTGCCCACCCTCCTCGTGTCCAGAGATTGTCAAGTTAATCGCTTGCCCGCCGCTTACAACCTATGGGGTTTATTGCATAACAGTTATCACAGGTTGTAACAATTAGCTCCACGTAATAGAATTCATCATCAGCTTTAAAAAGGGCATTACGTCGTTTTTGTAATCGTTTGCAACATATAAAGAGAGACTTGAGGTTGACGGGTCAGGGGACACACAGAGTTTGGCGTTAACTGGCGTGAGGAAATGTACAATTGGTCTGTTATACTGCATAGGTATTCACGGAATACATTCAGTTCATTTATTTTCATAAGCTACCGACAAGGTCCAGCTGATAAAAAAAAAAAAAGGATTCTTAAACTGGACTGAACCAAGGCAACCGAGCTGGTGTGTGTCGGATTTTTACATGGCTTTGGGAAACACGCACCTTTTTTCCACGGTGGAAAAAAAAAGAAAAAGAAGAAGAAGGTCCAAGTTTTTCTCTTGCACAGAATGATAAGAAGACCAAAAAAAAAAAAAAAAAGAAAGTTCAAAAACCCGCAAACGCCACCCACATCTCCGATTGCTTTCCGTTTTAAGATTGCTTTTCGTTTCAGACTAAACCTAAAAAGCCCCCCTACACGGAGCCCTGAGACGAGCGGTCGTCGTGGGGGCTCCCGTCCGAGTTCTCCGTCTCCCCCTCGGAGATGGCCTGCATGGGGGCCGAGTACAGCCGGCTGCGGGCGCTGTAGCGGCTGCTGTTGGCGGGGGGGGGGATCCGGGGCCGGCCCTGCCTGGAGGCCGCTGACCCCTGGAAGGATTTGGGGGAGAAGCTCTCGTTGGCGTTGGCGTTGGCTTTGGGATAGGGGCTGGAGGGCTGCTCCTGCCCCCCCCCCAGAGGGGAGGCGGGCTCCTCCGGTTGCCTGGGCGACTCGGTCAGGGGTTCCCCGGGCGACCGGGGGCCCGCGGGGCTCCGGAGGATCTCGGTGGCCGACATGCGGTAGCTGGAGTCCGAGCGGCTGCCCTTCCTCAGCAGCAGCAGCTTGAACTCCTCGCTGGACGTGCTGGACTTCCTGGCGCTCCGGTAGATGGCGCCGGGGGACCGGTGGGCGCCCCCCGGCGGCGGGGTCGCGGCGCCGGGGGGCGGGGTCGCGGCGCTGGGGGGCGGCGCCTGGGGCACCGGGGAGCTCCCCACGCTGCCGGGGGGGGGGGTTCCAGACACGGCTCCCAGACGGCTCTTCACGCCCAGCTCAGAGGAGTCCTTCCTACCCAGCAACTTCCTTTTGGACCTGAAATGGACGGAATATATTAAAGAAACCCTGAGAGGTCCCAAATAATACACAGGGAATATACGGTTCTGTACTTTTTTCCCACCCTATCTTGGTTTGTTTTATTCTTCTTAGTCTCCCATACTGTTTATAGTTGGTATAAACCTTGTTCATCCAAAAAAATGTAAAAATTAAATAAAAAAAAGGCAGCATTTGACCAGAGTATATTCATATTATATTATATTGTAACACTGTAGGAAAAAATGAAGAATATTTGGTAGAAAAAAAAAGAAAGGAAAAAAAAACAGAAAAAAGGAGGTGGCCTGGCGGGGGGCCCTCACCTGTGGATCATGGCGAACAGGTCCTCGGTGGTGCGGGACTTGCTGGGCGACAGAAAGACGCTGTCCTCCTCTGGTCTGGACTCATCGTGCGGCGGGGACGTGGAATGGTCGCTGGGGCTGGAGTCTGCCGACAGACGCCACACGTTAGGACATTCTGCTCTATGTTCTGAATCAGTGTCATTCTCAGAATGTAAGACTGCCTTTATGGCGATAGTTCTTCCAAGGAAAAAAAAGTAATTGTTTTTTGCTTTGTTTTTTGTCTTTTGAACCCTGTTTTATGGCTGCTTGTTGCCATGGCTTTCTCGGTCGCAACATTTTCTGTTTTTTAATGCTTTATATTAACCGTTCGCTGATCTCTTGGCCCTCCAAGTCAAAGTCGGGCACTGTTTTTAAAGCCTTAAACTTCTTACTCACAGAGATTACTGAACAAACAAGCTGTGCCTGTTTTGCTGGACTCAGACATTTTTGTGGCCTCGAGAGGTCAACTATTTGTCAGGACAGTTTGTGTGTTTAGCTTAAATAAAAAAGACGTCAACAAAAAGTCTTTTAAGAGATAAAGCTTATATTTTTTTAAGTTTTGTGAAGGACTGAGCAGGCTTGACAATTTTTCCTTTGGTCAGAATGTACTACACTGTCCTTTTCCTGCTCGGAACAGCTTCTTCTCTTTTGTGTGTGTGGTCAGAATGAGGCTGGATTCTTTTAGCATTGAACTACTCTCGGAACTGAATGTGTGGAACAACCTGTTGCTTCCCGTCTGTCTGCCATCAGTGAGACTGAGCGCCTGCCTTTAGTGGGAATAGTCACCTGTCTCTGCGGGGGACTCGGCTTTGCTGTCCTGTGAGGCGCTTTCCGCCGAGACCCCCGACGAATCGCTCTCCCCCTCGCAGATTGAGCTCTCTTGATTCGTCTCTGGCTGATAGCCGGTCCCGGAAACGGGACTGGCGTTCCTCCGGGGCGAGCTGTGCAGAGCTGGAGGAGGCAGGGCCGTTTCTTCCTCTGTCCGGTCAGCGGGTGGCTCCACTTGTGGGCCGGACTCCGGCCCTATGGGCTGCTCCTCCTCCTGACCGGGGGGGCTCTCGGGGAGGGCGGCGACTTTCTGGTTAGAGAAAAGTTCGGAGGTGGCGTCTCCTCTGTCCGGCGGCTCCCTCCCCTCGCTCCTCGGCTCGCCGCCTGATTCCTCCTCGGCGGGCTCGGGGGGGCTGAGCAGCGGGGGGGGGCGTTTGAGCTCTGAGGGGACGCCGCGGACCTCTTTGGGATCTTTGCCGACCGGCCGGAGCTGGACCGAGTGCAGCACCGAGGGCGTGATGGACAGAGGGTGGGGGTCGGACGCCGGTTTGTTGTCCTGTCGGTTCCAGGTCCCCTGACCGGCCTGTTTGTCGTTCACGGCGTGGAGGACGCTTAAGTCCAGGTGGGAAGGGGGGACCACGGGCAGCTCCAGGTCTCTCTTGGACGTGGCGCCGTCCCTACAGGAGTGGGACTGAAGGGACAGCGAGGAGAGCGAGGACTTCCTCTCCGGGACCTTGGGCTTCCTCTTCCCGCTCGCCGGGGACGCCGGTCCCGGGAAGAAGGCGGCGGGGAAAGAGGAGGTGGGCGTCTCCGACTGGCTGGAGTAGCCGCTGGAGGGGCTGGCCAGGCCGGCCAGCCTCTCTGGGGAGGTCAGCTTGAAGTCGCCCTCGGCCGACGGGAGGGAGGGGGTGGTGTTTCCGGATCCGGATCCGGACCCGGACCCGGATCCGGAGCGCGACGCCTGGGACTCGGAGCTCTCCTGCGAGCGGACGCACTCCACCACGGTGGTGCCGGTGGCCGTGCTGGAGTTGGAGAGTGACCGGTAGGGGTCGCCGGACCTGAAGTCGTTGAGCAGCCACAGGTCGGAGTAGTCCGCCTGCACGGCGCCCTCCTCCTTGAAGGAGCGCCCGTCCGTGAGGCCGAACACGCCCAGATCGCTCAGGTCGCCGGCGCCCCTCGCCCCCCAGGCTGCCCCCGACTCTCTGGCCAGGGCCAGCTGCAGCCTCCTCTCCCTGTAGGTCAGCGGCAGCGTCTGGCCGCAGGAAATCTTTGGCTCCTTCTTGTCGGGGATGCTTCCCTCGCTGCAGATCTTCCTCAGGGAGGAGCTCCTCTTGGGCGGCGAGGGCTTGGCCTTTGGCTTTCTCAGGGAGAGGCAGCGCCTCCCCAGGGTCAGGTGGGCGGTCAGGTCGCAGTCGGGGCCGGCGGCGGCCGCGCAGCCGTAGGGGAAGCTCCTGCTGCCCTTCAGGCCGCAGTCAAAGTGCATGGAGGTGTAGTAGCCCTCCGTGTCCACCGAGTAGTGCGACACGCTGTCCGCCTTCTCCGAGGGCGGCTTGTCGGAGAAGCTGCTCTCGCAGGTGGCCATGCTGGCGAAGCTGGGGCAGCCCAGGCTGCTGTCCGCCTCCCTGCCGGGCTCGGGGCTGAAGTCCAGCGGGCGGGAGGAAGGGTCCGGCCGGGGGTAGCCGCCCCACTCCCCCTCCGCCGGCGTGCAGGCCCCGGCCTCCTCCAGTATGTCCATGGCCGTGGAGGAGAAGGAGCCGGCCCGCTGGGTCCGGAGGCCCTGGTAGTGGTCAAGCGCGAAGCCGGCGGGGTCGTCGGCGGCGTGGGAGGCGGCGTTCAGGGACAGCTCGGAGTCGCAGTGGGAGGAGCCGGTCAGGGGCGGGGAGGCGGCCGGGGGGATGGTCTCGGAGGTCTGGGAGGGGCAGGTGGAGCTGCTCCCGCTCCAGTTCCCGCTGGACGACTGGTGGTCCTCCTTGGGGTCCAGCTGGCCGCCCAGCACCCCGCCGCCGGCCGACACGGAGTGGACGGGGCTGCCGAAGGTGTCGGAGCTGGAGGAGATCTCGCAGCTGCCCGCGTCGGCCCTCCCGGGGAGCCGGCCGCCGCCGCCGCCGCGCTCCATCCAGCTGCACGCCGGCCTCTCCGACAGCTGCCGGAACTTCAGGCTGACCAGCCGCCGCTCGGACATGGCCTGGCGCTCCGGGCTCTCCCCCTCGTCCTTCCGGATCCTCTCCCTGCGTCCGGGCAGGAAGCTTTCGCCGTCAAAGGCCAGCCCCTCCTCCTCCTCCTCCTCCTCCTCCTCGTCCTCCTCGTCGCTGCGCCCGTTGCTCAGCGCCCGGCTGGCGTCCCGGGGCAGACTCCGGGAGCGCAGCCGGGCGCCGACGGAGGCGGCGAACATGGCGCCGGCGCCGTCGGGCAGGCAGGAGATGTTGCCCGCCGAGCGCGACAGCAGGAGGGACGCCCCCTGGCCCCTGTGGACGCGGACCCGCCTCCGGGACGGCGCCCCCGAGATCAGAAATTCCTCCGTCTGGCAACCCGAGTCCCTGGTGCCCAGATGCCTGGCCAGCTCCTGGCCCGAGGGAGTGGCGTTCGGACCCGAGTGCACGATCACCGTCCGCTCCCTGGAGCCCGGAGAGTCGTCGGAGTCTGGGCAGCGGAAAAGGAGAACAGGGGCCAGGTTAACGGGACAACGGGACTCAGGCATGAAAAGGATGGAGGCAAACACACATAGCCTTCACAAACTGAGAGGAATAAAGAAAGAAAGAAAGAAAGAAAGAAAGAAAGAAAGAAAGAAAGAAA